TCATTTGTAAATAGAAACAATTGATTTCTTCCTTTCCTACTTGTATCTCTTTTATTTTCTTCTCTTGTCTTACTGCTCTAGCTAACACATTTTTTTTTATCAATGGCTTAATATGTATCATTTAGTTACTTACTTAAGATTTTCTAATGTTGGTCTTTAGGCATATACATTTCTTTCTGAGGACTGCTTTCATCATATGCCATGGATTTTGGTCTGTTGTGTTTTCATTTTTATTTGATCCCAGGAATTTTTAGAATTTTGTAATGATTTCTTCATGGACCCAGTCACTCATTAATATGTTGTTTAATATTCATGAGCTTGTGTAGTTTGATGGTTTCACTTGTTGTTGATTTGTAGACTTATTTAACTGTGATCAGATAGGATGCCAGGAATTGCTTCAGTCTTCCTGTCTTGTTGAGATTTGTGTTGTGTGCCAATTTATGATCTGTTTTGGAGGAAATTCTATTGGCTGCCAAGAAGAATATATATCCTAGAGATTTGTTTTAAATTCTTTTTAAAATTTATTCCTTGTATCTTTCACATCATGCTTCTTGTCCCTTCATATACACCCTCTGTCCTTGCAACTGCCCCCCAAAAAATAAAATAAAATTTAAGACAAAAAAGAAAAAAGAGAGAAAGAAAAAAATCAGTCTTTGTCATGGACGCTGTAGTGTGACAGAGTGAGTCATGCAGTAAGCCCATTGCCCCATATATCCTTACTTGCAAGTATTCATGGCAGACAGTCATTGGTCTGGTTTGAGGTCTCTGGTTGCTGCTGCACTATTGATGCTGGGCCCTGATTGGAACACCTCCTGCTGTTGCCCTATGTTGTGGAAATCCTGTGGCTTTGGGTCTGTACTGTAGTGTTTTGATGGAATGTTCTGTAGATGTGTGTTAAGCCCATTTAATCTGTCATGTTGCTTAACTTACACATTTCGACAGGCGTTGGTGGCTCACGCCTTTAATCCCAGCACTAGGGAGGTAGAGGCAGGTGGATCTCTGTGAGTTTGAGGCCAGCCTGATCTCCAGAGTGATTGCCAGAACAGCTTCCAAAGCCACACAGAGAAACCCTGTCTCAAGAAAACAAAGCAAACAAACAAACAAAAACAAACAAAAAAACTTACACATTTCTTTAGTTATTTATTTTTGTGGTGAGAGTGGGCTATTGAAGACATCTATTACAATTGCCCTAGTCTGTTTTATGAAACCAAGTTCACCGGTTTGGAGTATATATGTTTAGAATCATAACGTCCTCTTGAAGCATTGTTCCTTAACCTGTATGAAGTACTTATCTTTATGTTTTCTCATTAATTTTGAGGTCGGTTTTGCTAAATATTAGGACAGCCTCACTTATTTACTAATAGGTCCATTTGTTTAAAAAACCTTTCGCCACTCTTTCGATCTAAGGTTGCTCGGTCTTTTGTGATGTGTTATCTAATCTACTACTATGCATCATTTGATTGAAGAATTGAGATCATTACTATTCTGAATTATTACTGAAAGTTGTGTATTTATTTCTGCCATTTTGATGATTTTTTTCAATGTTATTTCCCCCTCTTGCACTCTTGTTTTTATTATTATTCTAACATGATTTGTTCTTTCTTGTGGCTTTGTATTTATTTATTTATTTATTTATTTATTTATTTATTTATTTATTTTTTCTCTTCATTCTAAAGAATCCCTGTAACTATTTTCTGTAGAGTTGGCTTAATGGTCATAAATTCCTGTAGCCTACTTTTATCTTAGAAAGATTCTATTTTTCCTCCAATTGTGACAGATAGATTTGCTGGGTATAAAAGTCTGGGTTGGCAGATGTTTTTCAGAACTACTCAGGTCCTTCTGGCTTTTACAACTTCAGTTGAATAACCTGATGTTATTCTGATGGGCCTGATTTGGTTTTTTCTCTTGGTGCTGTCAATATCCTTTCCTTGTTCTATGTATTGCATATTTTAATTATAATATCACAATGGGTTGTTCTTTTTTCTGGTTCTGTTTGGTGTTCTAAATATTGCTCTTGTCTGGTTTGGCATCTATTTTTTTTAACTTTGGGAAATCTTCCCTTATGGTTCTTAAAAAAAAAGGTTTTTATGTCTTTAGGACGAGGTTATTCTCCTTATTCTTTGCCTGTTATTCATAGGTTTTTATCTTCTTGGTAGTACTCTGTATATATTGGAGCTCACATAATACGCACTATTTTATCTTCATCCTTGTTGTATTACTCTAGTTCCTCCACCTTGTTTTCAAGCTCATATATTCATCTATTTCTTTGATGCACTCTATTGCTGAGACTTTCATGGTCCTTTTTGATGGATATATATTGAAGTACTGAAATAAGAATATATTTATTCCAGTACTTCAGATTGCCTTTTATTTGTTTCTCTTTGTTAAAGTCATCATTTACATCTTGTATCACCTTCCTTTTTTTGATTTAGCTGTTTGCATTTTCAGGCAGAAACTCATTTTCTGTGATTTCTCTAATTATGCTCTAATCATGCTGTTCTGTCTTGGAATTTTTTCAAATTAATTCTCACTAGGTGTTGTTACTGTGGGATTTTGACACACACACACACACACACACAGAGAGAGAGAGAGAGAGAGAGAGAGAGAGAGAGAGAGAGAGAACTGACAGTCTTTGTTTGGAATTCCTATAAATAAATCCAAACCACCCAGAGTCCGGGAGCATAGTGGAAGGGGAGCATGGAGACTTGCACGTAGGGCAATTATGCATTCTTTGTGGACTTTGTTTGAACATGCCCTATCCTTCCTGAAGCTACTTTGTCTCCTTCCTTCCTATGTGCTCCCTGACTTAAAGTACTCTTTCTCAAATACACCTTCAAATTCTCATTTCTCCATACCATCTCTTTGCTCAGAAATATGAAATTCCCTAATCCCCTTTGTTACCATAGACATTTCCTCACTGGCATCTCTTCAGCATGAAGCACATCTGGAGTGAAATGGCTTGGCTAAGGTCTGAGGTGAGGAGGATGTCAGTTTGTCCTGAGTAGACTTCTTGTTAACCTCAAATCACAGTTTCAGGGGCTGGGGAGACACAGTTCAGTGACTCAGCATTTGTTTACAGTGCACAGGCCTGGATTTGATCCCCAATGCTGGTGGCAGAGGGTGGGGGTGGGGAACAAGTGAGCAACCAGACACAAATTAAAACAAACCTTCCAAATGGCAGCATTCCCCCACAGTTTCACAGGGCATGGTTAGTCTTCTGTTGGAAATTCCTTGGTTCTCTGGTTTCTTATTCCTCTAGCTAGAGTAATTTTGGCCAGATAATTAAAAAAAAAAAAAAGACTCCTTACCTCTTTCACCACATCCCAGACATAGTCCATCTGTCACTGGGATCCCATCCATCCCTGTGAGCTCATCTCTTTACTTCACTTTGGGCCTAGCTCCCTAAACCTTGTCAGAGGTCCTCCAACTCCATTGCTCTTCCAATTGTTGGAACTGTGTCATTCACCATAGAGCTTCTGCCTGGAAGGTTTTACCGTGCAATTTTTACAGTCACCTTTCACATGTACTTCCCCAGAAAAGCCTTCTTTGACCAAAAGATTAGTTTAAGTGTGCCTGGAATTCTCTCTCACTTTCATACATTGTGGCTCACTTAGAATTATTTTGGGTCTTTCATTGTCTTTATAATTACTATTTTTGTTAAAATTTGTGTCCCTCACCAAACTAGTATACAAGTGGCCAAAATATATATATATATATATATATATATATATATATATATATGTTATACATAATTATATAACTACTTTTAAAATTTTTCATAGTAACCCTAGAAGGTATATACTGCTATTGTCCTTCCCATATACAGATGAGAAAATTGTGACAGAGCAATTAATGCCTTTAATGGAGGTCACATGGCTTACACAAAACAGAACTGATAATTAGATCCATATTCTTTGTCTCTACAATGTCTGCCACAGGGTCTATGGCTCTATTTGCTATCACAGTATCCTCTACACCAAACTTCTGGCAAAAAACAGGGATCAGTAAATATATATTGACTCATGGAAGTTGACTAATTTTTTGTAATTAGGATGTCTTTGTTCCTTGTTGCAGAAATAAAGGAAGAAGATACATAATACACACAGTAAAGTTAGTGGCTAGGACTTTGTCTTCCAAACACTTGATAACTCCATGGGCAAGTGCCAGAAATGCCAGGAGAGCTGGCAGTAGGAATTTGTGCTTACCATTTAGTAGTTGTGGCCTACTCCGTCCACTTTCTGCCTGGCATCAGTGAGAAACAGCCCTGTAACTCTTCCAATGAAACCCAGTCCAAGAATCATGGGAAGGGACAGTGGAGGTGGTTTCCCAGTGGGCATTCTCCATTTCAGATGTGGCTAAGGGCAGAGTTCCCTCTTGGTTTGTCCTAAACTTTCACCCCATGATGAGTAAGGGAATGACTCATTAGCAATCTATTTTCACTAGCAAATCAATTCCAACTCAACCCAGTTTCCATTGCCATGGAGGGCAAACCACAGCCATATTGAGCTTGTTAATACTTAAAGCTAGAGTTAGGCAGTTTGCAGAGAACAAAGGCAGTTCTTTGGGGAAATACATACTTGATTTATGGTGTGATGCAGAGGTTAAGGACAAGGGGTTCTTATCATACTGAATTTTATTGCACCAACTATGCATGTTATGGGGCAGTTGCTGTGGATACAGAGCAGAATAAGATAAAGTTACTTCTCTGGGTGTGTTATATCTACCATGCTATCAGGCTGCCTGTGCCAAGTTAATGCAGTTAACTGTGTTAAACTCCAGAAAAACCTTAAAAACATGCTGTTTGAACTCATCATAGAAGGATCTAGGAGACTGACAAGAGGCAGTGGTAGGGTTTTTCAGGTGAGGTGGTAGAATCAACAGAGGTTGGAAAGATATGACTGGGAGGCCCTGGAAGCTATTGGAACATTGGGTCTGTGTGTGGGAAGACCTCCTCATGATAGAGGAGATTACACTTCAGTTACTTCTGTCACTTTCAACAGCCTCAAGTTTAATTCCGCTGTCAGAAAAGCAGTCTGAAGGCAGTGATGGGCACTTCAGTCTGTGTGACTTCTCTGTCAAAGTGATTGACCAACAATTCTGCCTTCGGAGGGTTTAGTCTGTAAGTACTTCTTTTATATTATCCCTTAAACATCCCTTTACCAGTCCTTCAGTCAATGTCTAAGTTGATAACAGATTACCCATGACCCAATTCCTTCAGGGCATTCTATTCAATGCTGAAAAGAGGTATGGGATTAAAGATGATAGGTAGACAGTGTATGCCATGTTTGCGTGATTTTTTTTTTACAATAAATAATACACCAAGCCTTTAAGAGGTCAAGTAGCTTGATGATGGTCATGCAGGTAAGGTTCTTGGATTGAAGTCTTGAAAATTCCCTGGTTCTCAGTTTCCTAATCTGTTATATGAGGGGACTATGGATATATCACAAAGAGCTGCAGGTGAATTCAGACAATATGAATTGGGGCTGGGGAGATGCCTCAGCAGTTAGACACACTCTCTGTTCTCACAGAAGACTTACATTTAGTTCTCAGCATGTACATGATGGCTGACAACCATCTGTAACTCCAGTTCCAGGGGACCCAAAAGCCTCTTTTGGCTCTACAGAAACAAGGTATGCCTTCAGAAACCATATTTACATTCAAGTAAAACATGCACTACTGTAAAATCAAGAAATAAAACATTTTAAAAAAGATTGTCTTTGCATAAAGCCGCACACAGTGACTGCCATATAGTTACTGCTATTATTTTGTTTTGTGTTGGTGTTGGGGATTGAACCCAGTAACTTGGGTATGCCAGGCAAGTGCTCTGCCATTGTACTAGTTTCCTGTCCTACTGTTACTTTTTTTTACTGCCCACAGAGTTAGTGCTAAACAGAGCTGGAGCTGGGCTTGCAGAGATCTAAGGTCCTCCAGGGTCATCATCATTCTGTATCTCCACACACACTCTGTGTAAGATGCTAGCACATGCTTTGGTTCATCCTCTCAGAATAAAAACAAGAGGCAGAAATAAGCTAGAGAATGAAATGGCATCATAGTGGTGTTGGATAAGTGATTACAGAGTAGACAACCAGGCTGAGTCTGTGGCAACCCTCCATTTCTTAACACTCGCTAAGTGCTCTTCTAGGACCAAGTCCAATTCCAGTGAAACCCGGCATCTGGGGACATCTGGACTTCAGTGCCTGATGGCCTGCATGGCTTTCTACTCTCTTATTCAAAGAAGTGGCCACATCCAAAAGGGCTTTGGACTTGGCTGACTTGGGTGTTTCACATTCCAAATCCAATACTTGTGCACTCTCTGATCATGGGCTCGGTTTTTAGTGTTCTTCAGTTTCAGTTTCCTCCATTGTATGTGCAAAGAGTGGATGCCTAGACGTGTGGTTGGAATAAAGTGATATGAAGGTGAAATTGTATGTCAGATTTAGCATCCTGTTATTCCAGTAATGGAAAGCTCTCAATGCATGGTAGCATTAATTATATGGAAGTTCTGAATCTTTTGAAAGAAGCTTGTTGATGACTCTTCGATAACAAGCAGTTTATTTCCTATGTGGACTTCAGTAAGTTCTTTGTCAGATGACAGATCTCCAATTGTGCTCTTTCTGGACACTCTATAGGGATGTACAAGGAGCTAGGAGCCCAGAGGAGATTTGCTGCCAGGCTGAATTTTATTCTAAACAAACCCACAGCATGGAAGTGTGGAATTACCAAAGGCCAGTCATTTATTCCTTTGTTGTGGACTTGGAAAGAATGATATACATACATACATACATACATACATACATACATACACACACACATACACACATACATACATACATACATACATTCCTGTGTTTGTGTGTAGAAATTCCCTCCAAAGATATAACAAATACAAATGCAAAAGGAACACATTTTTATTTTTTCTCCACTTTTTATTCCAAGTACAGCCCTAGTTTCATTTCTTAGTTCCTGTTAGTTGTTTGCCATCTCTTTCAAATTTCTATTTTCCCATAAATTCCTCTATTTCTTAGTGCTTTCATCTTTTCCTTTTTTTATTTTCAGGCTGCTTTTTTATTTTCAGAAATTTTCATTTCTGGTTTACAGAGAAATCAGTTTTTTTTTTTGAGTTCAGACAGCTAGTTTGGTCAGGTAATCAAATAGTCATTATTTCATCTATAGGTAGAGAAGGAAGTAAAACAAAACAAAAAGAATAAAAAACAACAAATAAATAGCAGAAGAAATGACAAAGAATGAACAAAACTCCAACTTTTTGCCACAAACCACAACCATCAAATCTAAATCCTGCGCCCAAGCTTTAACTCAGGCACCAGCAAGACCAGCTTGAAAGGACTGATTACACCACATAGTTTGGATTGGCAATGGGTGTAAAACCGTTCTTTGTTCATAAAGTCAATTAAACCAATCCCTCATTTATTTACCCCCACTCAAGACTTGTAGATGAAAGTCCACCCCAGTTATTGTCTTTTTCTTTAGTCTGGGAGGGGCTTCACTTTCTGTCTTTGTTTATGATCAAATCACATTAGACTACAGGTTTGTTTCTCATCTGAAACTATTATGTGCATCACATTAGTGAAGACACATGTAAAACCTTTTCAAGGATAATATGACCCTTTGCTAAAATCCTACCACAAAAAATATCCCCCCCCAAGAAGTGATACTTACCTTAGCAGTCCACAGAAGCATTTGAACCTAGGAAAAAATACAGATATTTATTTTGAGATATGCTATTTTTCTTGAATGATTAAAGTTTATCTTCTGTGAAACATTTAAAACATCTTCACTTAGATGATTTCAAAAACAAAGGTTTTAGTGAATATTAAAGAATAAGTTTGAGTCAGGGGAAGAATAGAAGATAACAAGAATGGAGATATCATAATAGAGGGAGACATTTCTGGTTTATAGAGAAATCAGGCACTAGGGAAATGTCTGGAGATCTACAAAGATGACAACAGCTAACAATCTAAGCAATGGAGGACAGGCTACCTTAAATGCCCTCCCCTGATTATGACATTGATGACTGACTTATATGCTATCCTATAGACTTCATCCAGCAGCTGGTGGAAATAGAAACATACACCCACAGCTAATCACTGAACTGAACTGAAACCCAGATGCAGAGAAGGATGAGTGAAGAGCACAGGGGTCCAGACCAGGCTGGTGAAACCCACAGAAACAGCTGACCGGAACATCTGGGAACTCTTGCTCCCCAGACTGATAGCTGGAATACCAGCATGGGACTGATCCAGACCCCAGGAACATGGGTTTCTGTGAGGAAGCCTCAGAAATCTACGGGACCTTCTGTAGAAGTTCAGTACTTATCCCTATCATAGGTGTGGCCTTTGGGAGCCCATTCCATATAGAGGAATACTCCCTGAGCCAAGACACATGGTGGGTGGGGGTGGGCCTAGGCCCTATACAATAGACACTGATGACACCCTATGGAAGGCCTCACCATCCAGGGGGAGCAGAAAGGATATGTGATAGATAGGGTTTGAGTTGGGGGGGGCGGTAGGGGAGGGCGGGTGGGAGAAGGGAACTGGGATTGACATGTAAAACAATCCTGTTTCTAATTCAAACAAAAAAAAGTTGGAAAAAAAAGAATTTTGAAGGATTTTTAGTGTCTTCTGTTCTTATTGTTAAACCTATTCATAGATTTTTGTTTCTATTCATATTGGTTTTGAAGCTAATCTAGAATTTGATGGTACATGTTTTATTTGTGTATCTGTTGTGTTCTTTTTCCTATCTGCATAGCAGAGTAGAAATCCAGGGGACTGGGGGTGTACCTTAATGTAGACCACTTTCCCAGCACATATAAGACCCTGAATTTGACTTCTTCAATGAAAATGAAATAAAATTTATGCAGCGTCATCCATCCTGATAAACACCCACAAGACTCCTGGTATGTTTCAAGTGCTACGCAATAACTAGAGAAGAAAGAGTTGAGTATAGACACTGGAGGAAAGCATGAGCTACACATGTTAGCTTGCTTGAAACTTCATAATATTGCCAACTGAAAACTTCTATTTAACATTTGCCATAGGAAACTTCCTGGACTGTAAACATTCTATGTAATTCATCTCTTAAGCCCATAACTCTTGTTTTATCTCAGTAATAATCATAGGAAATAAAGCTCCACTATTGTTCTTTGGAGGAAAGAATACTGAAGTTTATCAAGACTGAAAGTGACATAAGTATAGGTCCTAGCTAGTTTATGGTAGGGGCAAGAGTCACACACAACTGCTTATAAATGCTATGTTTTCTTTCTTGTACCAGACTGCACCCATCTATGGAACACACCACACACACAAACACACACACACACACACACACACACACACACACACACACACACACACACACAACACACACACATACACACACATACACACACACACACACACACACACACACACACACACACACACACACACACACACACCCCAAATCAATTATGGTCAAATTTTTGTGTTTTAATATGGAACAAATAACATTTGTTTTTCCTTGCCAAACCTACTGTAGTTTCCCATCATGCATGAGAACTTAGAATCTACTAGAATAAAGGAGCTGTGCAAATAAAAGGTATTATTGTCACAGTTCGCCAAGACAAATGAAAAGTGGTGAACAGAATATCCTTTGTTTCACTGGAACCCTTTAACTGAACTAATTGCTTATTTTCATTTCCTTTAGCTATGGAATGATTCATACAACACATAGTGTGATATATCCAGATGTTAACACAAATCTCACTGAGATCAAACAGCCTCACTTTGCTGAAGAGGATGGATGCTTGTGTGGATCAGACTGGATTACATCTGGTTTCCATAGTGACACATCATGCTTGATTTTAGGAATCATGAAGTACTAGTTGAGCTAATTTTGACTAAATTTCTTTTCCCAGTAGTGGAGGTGAGAAAGAGAAAGTGATTTTGGTTTCTATAACAGAGAATATATTTTAAAGTAGATAAGTGGTTAACAGTGTTTTACCATTCAACACTTCTCACAGATGGCGTAGTTGCTAGCATAATGGAAGCAAAGAGGTGTCATGAAGTGGTTAATCTCTCTTTTATCTAACGGCCTTGTACTTGATAAAGAAGGCTGTAAGCA